GGAATGGAAATGTGGCTAAGGCGGAGCATGTGAATGTAGCTGACGATGCTGTGGCTGTGGCTCCGGCTCCATCGTCTCGCCTGCTTGTCACTTATGCAAAATCCTCTAATGTAGCAATGGCAAGGTGTCACAAAAAAAGCAACAAATACAGTTAAAAGGCAAAGCAGCACAGTGCAGCAACAGAAGCCAGCTGAAGCAACCTTAACACGAGCAGATGCCAGTCTGCTTGCCTAGTCAGTTTTGGTTTTGTTCCTGCTGCTGCTGCTGCTGCTGCTGCTGCTGCTGCTGCTGTCGTAACACACAAATGCTCTTTAAGCGGATTTGGCAGCGCTTTAGTTGTTTGCCATTGTTAAACTGAGTGCTCAGCATAAGGCCTCACAACGGACCTCTGATTCCCTCACTAACACACACACACACAAACACACACTAATACTTTGGGCAGCTGGCTTAAAGCAACAGAAACTTCAATTCAAACTTGCATACCCTGTAGAAGTAAGCCTAATAAGCAATAACATAAGCTCCACAAAGGCAAACAATTACAAGATTATATCCCATACACAAGAGTGAAACAATAGAGAGAGAGAGAGGGAGAGAAAGAGAGAGAGAACAGCTGAGCAATCGAGCGTAAAGTTAACTTTAGCTGCAGCTAAACTGGAAGTTAGCTTTAAACGTAATCGACCTATTTAACAATTACTCTTTTGCACTTGAGCCAAGGGTCAAAATCATTAATATTGGCTTACTTGAACTGGCTCTTAGGCAAAAACGCAGAGTTAGTTCACCTTTAGCGTTCGCTGTTAACTGGAGTGTGCGAGAAATCCCGTTTAATTATGCCAAAACATGCACAAATATTTTTCTTATGCCTCGTAGCGGCGCATTAATTAATTTAAGGCGCCAGCGCGGCTCTGCTGACTTAAATATGTGGCCTGCTGTGACTTTGGCCGAAAAAGTCAACGCTCCGAAAAGTTTTTAATTAAATGATACAAAGCGTGTTTGCCTAATTTTAAAACAGCAGCCGCCCGCAAAGAAATGTCCTGCAGCTCACTCG